TGGACATTTTATTTGAAGCTAGATTATAAACATTTATGCTAGAGAGTTACATAAATTTATAATCTTATATTTGCTAATAGTATAAAACATATATATTTATATGCTTTGACTTACATCTGTGCCGCTATTATTGTTTTGTAATTTGACTATCGATAGCTCACCAGTTTGTCACAAAAGCTTGATTGTCATCCCAGCTCAATGCACTTCCGATACATTGTTTAATCGATATTTGTCTGCGCAATCAACGATTTGAATGTAACGAATCATTAGGGTGCTCCAATGTGTTAAGTTTTTGGCCACATTTGGTTTCTATAATATACGTTACGCTCGTGTAGGTCCTGTAATTCTCGAAAATTATTGAGCAGAGGCCTGCCGCGATCATCTGACAGGTTCCACAGGTGTTTCAGCTGTAAGATGGTAACTATATACTGATGATATATTTAAAAATATATTTTCGCTTACATATCGTTTTGAAATTTCTATAGGTTTGGGGAAGACAAACCAATTGACAACTTCAGAGCATGGTGGTGTGGTAAGCGAGCCTATAGGAAAACACAATAAATGCATACTTTTCGGCATTGAAAGCATACAGACCTTGGTATGTAAAAAACTCTTGCCTTTCTATACCAGCTAAAATATCCCTTAATGAAAACTCTCCTTTAAAGGTTGAGGACATATCATATTTTTTAACTTGACTTGCCTCCATGCAGACTTTATTCAAAGCTTTAGGATTAATTACGGGTTCCTATAAAAAAAGGAACAAAAAAATACATAAATAATAAATATGAGGTATTACTTACAGCCGCTATCTTCAACATGAGTCCCAATACTACATAGCCATCAGGAGCACAAATGGCTTCCTGTTTAGTTCCATACGCACAATTTTGATGAACAATATGCACCTCAGCATCGTAGCGAGAAAACTCAATTTCATGTTCCGATCCTTCGCTATGTGGCGAGCCCCAATGGAAGTGTAACTGCACAGCTTTATATATACTCTCCAGCATGCATCCGCACAGAGCTGGTTGACTACCATCGGCTCCGGGCGGTATCGCCATAGTTATAGTATGCCCATTATTAGTGAGCTTCAAGGGGCTGCCAAATGTCTTGTCATAGTTGACAAAGGTTAATCTTGGGGCACTGGATCTAACAGCCTAATAAATACGTGTGCATTTACTAAGTTATCACAAAAAGTTGATCAATTTACTTTTTCTTTTGCCAATGAAATGGGCGACTGTTGTTTGCCGGCCTCCACTTTCCAGTCTTTTCCATTTTTATCATAGTTGAAATGGCTTAGTTTTGCATAGTTTCTTAATACATAATTCATTTGAAAATCTAAAAATGGTTATAAA